TTGGTCATGGGCTGCATTTATCACTTTTTATCTAATGTATAATTAGTACGTCAGTCACTTTATTGTTTTAAAAAATATTGAACGGGATCATTTGCTAAGGAACGGTTCATTTGCAATTTTCTTCGATGTTACTTTACGCAACCACTAAGTACTCAAAAAGAACTAAAAAGTGCATTAAAATGGCTGCGTTCAAAGTCCTATACTTGTAATTAAATGAACCGCTTTAGAAAATTTGATTTTAAAATACTTCCTTAGGACTGACAGCACCCTAAAGTGATTAAAATGTCCAAAACATAACTTTTCTATACTCGCTATATCTACGTTCTAAAACATAATCTGAATAAAAAGAAAGTCAGATATTCAACATCCAGTCATATAGAACGCTAATGAGGGCATCCACGACTTTTTCTACCACCAGGGCGGCGCCACTTAAAAGTGAGGTATAATATTTGACAGATTTCATAGCGAGGAAGTTAATTTGTTCGGAAAATGTAAATGTTATTGTTTCTTACTGTACTATTAGCTATATTTTAAATTAATAACATTAAAAATAAATAAACCAAACCACAGATAAATAAATAGTATAAAAGTAGAAAAATTAAAAAAAAAGTTAAAAATGTACAAAAAATTAAAAAGTAAACCACTGACGCATTGTTTTGTGTATTAATATAATACTCTAGAAACTGATAAACTTTTATTAAAAAATAACTTCCCAATTATATTACATTGTGTAACAAAAAACTTTACCTCAGTGTCAACTAGCGACATCTGGTGAGCAAAAAATTATTAGCCCTCATTAGGAACTGGTTGAAATACCACATATGTGGCGTTTTAAAACGAAAGGTCACGTCAAAAGTCCTAAGACTTTAACAAAGTCAATTGTTCCGCGAGCGAGGAGAGACGAATATGTATCGGCACAGAGGGGCAGCGCGGTCGCAGGAACAAAAGCGCAGGGCATCGACCGCGCCGACCGTACTCAACGTGGACACAGTACGAGGAGTACAGGCAGCTTTTATAACAATAACATCTCATGGGACGGAGCAATTCCATAACATTATTCCTTTCGCGATGTTGGTAGGATGTGTAACGTACGATGCACATAGCATAGGAATGGTAATGTATCCTTAAAGATATTGTACCGTAGTATTTATCTATATACGATAAACTTTACGAGAAGCTTAGTATTATATTTTGTTCGTTTTCTAAATTCGTATTATAACATTTCTACATAATAATTTCTGAAGTCGATACTAAGATACTAAGAAATATTCTATCGAAGAATTAAAGCCATCTTCGAGAGTTATGCTAGCTATTATGTGGAAATTATTATTATTTTTTTTTTGCTTTTCATGCCGGTTTTTGTTTTTTTAATAAAAGATTAAGTTTTATTTATTTTACCTTTAAAGTTCGTTTTCACATTTTATTAAAACAATTGAGTTGACTAACAAGTCCTTAGAATAGAGTAAAGTAAAGTTACAGCATATATACGAGTACGTCCCACTGCTGGGCACAGACTTCCTGTTACTTCTGAGAGGGTTTTAGGGCAAAGAATTGTCCGCTGCGCTGCCCCAATGCGTGTAGACAGACTTGACATGTCTTCTCAATATTTTTTTATTTCTCAGAAATGCAGGTTTCCTCAGGATGTTTGCCTTCACCACCGAGCACGTGGTAAATTAGCTCTTAATATTTCAATTAACAATTTCATTGGTGCCGGCGGGGATCGAACGCGGGTTGCTCGCATACTGTGAAATTTACAGCGCGAGCTAAGCCCCTGAGTTACCATGACTCGTAACTTTTAATTAACCCTTAGAGTGGACTAAGAAATATCTCAAGTTCCAAGTAACTAGGTTTAAACTCGCAAGTTTGCTATCAGAGTGATTTTTCTGTCCTTGTACTATTATTTATTCTGTGGTAACAACTAGAATGTCGCCTCAATACATTAAAATTAAGTGATTTAAAACTTCACTTAGTATTTTCTCACCTCTCTTGCAATATTTTCTTCAAGTTTATAAGGGACCTCGTGAATCTATTTATTAAATGTCAATCATTTGAATCAATTTAAACGTTTCTCAAAAAATTTAAAAAAAGAAGAGAGAAGAAAAAACTTAAAGAAAAGAGATCCGTGGTAGCGCTTAACGCTCGCTGTAATTTACATAGTACGCGAGCAAGCCAGGTTCGATCCCCGCCGGCATCAATGAAATTGTTGATTGCAATTTTAAGTGCTGATTTACCACGTGCTCGGCGGTGAAGGAAAAGATCGTCAGGAAAACTGCACGTCTGAGAAATAAGAAAAAAAAAGACATGTGAAGTTTGCCCACACGCATTGGGGCCTTAGACCGTTCAACCAATTAGGTTAAATGGTCTAAGATTGGGGCAGCGCGGCGGACATTTCCCTGTCCTAAAACTCTCTCAGAGATGAGAGGAGACCTGTGCCCAGCAGTGGTACGTGTAGATGCTATAACTTTTACTTTTACATAAAAATTAAAACCCGGTTAAAACATAGTATAGTTACAGTTTAAAGAGAGGTATAGTATTTATCAAAACTCAAAACAGTAAGATATACTGCAAAAAAAAACTGGCCAATGGCGTGTCGGGCCACGCACTATGAAGAGGTAGGGTTCCGTAGAAGTAGAGATAGGGTCCTTCAATAACTACCAACTAAAAAATAAGTGAAAGTAGTAAGTAAGTAAGTAAGAAAGATCCTCCCTGCCTATCCCGCAAATGAAAAAGTAAAGCTATAGTATAGTTATGCATATAAGTCGTTTTCTTCATAAAATGTTTACAATAACATAAAGTTAAAATGAAGCTAGTTTTAAGTCATCTTCTATGGTGTTGTAAGTAACGAAATTTTTACTAATCCAAGTGCATTTTGTAAATTGTTCGATCATTACTCGTTAACTTGTTAATTCTACTTAGCTATGATAGTTTTTCTTTTAAATATATATTACTATCGTGGATACTTTTCACATTTCTAAAAACAGCGGTTTAGTTGGGAAAGGGGAGAGACACATGACTAATGAAAAATACCACTTTAAAGCTAAATATTTGCAAACGGACCCCTCAATCGAAAATATGTTGTTCCACACCCCCAGTGGTTTTGAAAGACCTATCCAACGATACCACACATGATGAATTAGACGGATAAAAAAAATCATCCTCCATATACTTGTATGTGAAGTACCCAAAATAAAAATGTTTTCCAAGATTCTATTTCACAGTTTTCTAGGCGTGATTAATATCTGTAACTATGCCAAATTACATATTTTAGCACCTAGGCTCCCTGAGCAAAACCGCAGACGAACGGACTGATATGGCGGAACTATAAGGGTTCCTTCTTGTGTAACTACGGAACCCTAAAAAGACTCGAAATATTTTATAATAGACGGAAGACACAAATTCGATCAGGAGAACGATTACGAACCGCTTTACTACATAAAACTGTTTTATATTGTTATACATTCCGGCCTTCGAATAACTTAAGTGTGCATCAGTATTTGCTTAGGTGCACGTAAAATGAGACAGTCCCCCCCCCCCCCCTTCTACTATACAAAATCATCACTATATTTTCTTCAAACAAGTTTTAAACCTTAACTCTATGCAAAAAAAGGCATTAATCATTAAATTTTGCAAGTAAGCATTTTGCCAGAGACATTATACGTTTGATTTAATCTAGTTAAGTTTTTTGTTTCAATCGTACGTTACATTGGTAATTTTATTCTTAAAATTGTAATAAAATAATGTAATGTGGGTAATTTGAAATAAAATATACATCAGGATTTTATTGTTGAGTGCGTTGACTTTTGTCTAGTGTTCTGTTCACAATGGATCTCATTCCAGCAGAGAAACTTATTTTTCTCGATAACGCGCCAAAGCCTGATACAGAAATGTACGTATTAGATTATTTCGTATGTATTTTGTTTAATATATTATATTATATAATATGATTATTTTAAATTTGTTTTCAAAGTAATATTATACTCCATATTTAATGTTATTTTGTTACGTTATGAAAACAGATCAACGTGGTCAAATGTGGTTTGTAAGCTTAGAAAGTATATATTCACATTTAGTTTAATTGTTATTTAAAGTGACGGTGTAAGAATATCCACTAACCCATATCGTCCCGTAGGTGAAGTAAGAAACTACAGAGAGAATCAAACCAGAAGATAGAGTAGCGTCTCCCTAATACCAGCTAAAAAAATAAAAATTGCGGTTGCCAATACGCCTGCCAAGCGTGCCAAGTATATAAATATTCCTCTTATGAGGTAATCTATGGGGAAGGCCAATGTTTAGCTGTGGACTTTTGATAGGCTGTAACCTGTAACGGTAAGAAGTTATCATTCATCATTTCGAAATCAGTTTCCAAAAGATATCTTTGCAAAGTAAAATTAAAATAAATATGCAGTATTATAATATAAGTAATAATTTAAAAAAAATACTACCACGTGTACGACAATAATAAATACTATTGTAAAAATTATGAGCATTATAATTTGTAATCTAGTTTGTGATCCTGATAGTTAATAATTTTGAAATTTAAAATTTTGTACAACCGTCTTCAATACAAATTATTAAGAATAACTCAAAAACTATTGGTCAGACTTTGATCAGATTTATATGGGACCACATGTGAAGGACCAGCTTTTAAATAAAAAACAATCAAGATCATAAGAATCAGATAAAAGTTACATAAAAAAAAACATACAGTCGAATTGAGTACCTCCTCCTGTTTGGAGTCGGTAGAAAAATTGGTAAAGTGATGGCCTCTTCCTTTTTCTCATGAGGAAATGACTGCGCATACTTACCTCGTTGGGGCAATAAATGGGTTACGTCTGAAAGACTTAATCGTCACCACATATCGGCAAAGCCACGGGAAAACTATCGTACACATCCGCAGCCTTTACAACGCCAACTGTTCAACCTCGGGAGATGACAACTCCTCCCATTTTTCTTTCTAAGGCAAGACAAGACTAAACAATTGTTATCTTTTAATATTTCAGAGGAGAAAAGCTGTATGTAACAGCAGACAAGCGTGGGGAGAAAGGAGGTTGCAAGAGACCCCTGTGCTGGACACTGCTGGGTCTCGTTGTTGCAGCCATTGTCGCCCTAATAGTTCTAGCAGCAAGTAATTATTTTTTATTGGAAATATTAATAGCTTACTTACTTCATGCTCGGTGGTGAAGGAAAAGATTGTAGAAAAATTTGAATGTGTCAAAAATTATAAATATTTTGGGGACATGTAAAGTCCGCCAAAGTCCGCCAACCCACATTAAGGCAGAGTAGCGGATTCTTTTGTGCCCCATTAACCTCTAAGAAATAAATGAGGCATTTTTATAGAATATGGGTAACAAACGAACACACAGTCAACCTGATGGTAAGTGGATACTGTGGTCCATAGACATTCTCATCCACGATTATCGAAATCCAAAGGCAGATGTCACCCCTGAGGACTAAGCAGCTGGAATGCCTCATTTCCAGTAAAGAGGGTCTCCGGCTCTCTACACTGACCATACGAAACACAGCAGCATTAAGGTGCTATTTTACGTTGGTATTCTGTGAGAGCGTGGTCTTCCCCGGTCGAGCCGACCCATTCGTGCTTCAACTATAACATAGCTGCAGAATGGCCCTGTCACGTGCAATGCCTCGCACAAAGTAACTTTACTTTTAGCCTAAATGTAGGTGTAAAGCGCAAATGAGTTAGAGCGAATATATATTTATTTATAGGTTCGGGTGACAAACGAGCACACAGTCCACCTGATGGTAAGTGGTTGCTGTGGCCCATAGACATCTACATCTATCCTCGTTTGCGAATCAAAATGCAGATGCGTTGTCACTCTTGAGGACTAAGATGGAATGCCTCTTATGCAGTAAAAAGATCTCCGGTTCTCTACACTTACCATACGAAACACAGCAGTGTTAGTCTGCTATTTTACGCTGGTATTCTTTGAGAGTGTGGTCCTTCCCCGGTCGAGCCGACCCATTCGTGTTACAACTACACTGCTAATAAAGCTGCAGCGTGGGTCTACCACGTATAATATTGACTTGCATTTTCGCACACACAAATTTTCTCCCTGCTTATTGGCAATGTCATATTGTAATATTATTACTGTACATAAATACTTTTCTTTTTTTAATACATTCACATTCGTTTTATTCTGTAACATTACAGCTGGAATACTTTTCACGAACTCGCCCACGCCTCTGGAGCCGTATAATACGTCGATAAGCTCAGCGCGTGCCCTCGGCGGTATTACTCATACAACTAGCCACGAACAGGATCAAGATAACGATCACGACCATGAACACGACCACAATCATGATCATGCACATCATGATCACGACCACGACCACAGCCACGGTCATGATCATAATCATGAACAACCCACTGAAAATGAAGAAGCGTCTGTACTAGAACAAGGTACTGAGCATGTAAATAGTCGAGAAACAGAAAGCAGTCATGAAGATGACAGTGATCATAAAGACAGTCAGGAACCCACTCATGCGCATGATACAACCCTCTCAACGGAACAGCACCACGGACCACAAATGCAAAATGATGAAGGCCATGGTCATGCTATAGCATCTGAAGAAACGGGCGACAACTCAATGTACGGTACGTAAATTTTTATAAGATAATTGCACAAATTAATAAAGTTCTTATCAGCACAGCTTTCTCAAATCCAAAATTTTGAGATATTCATCCATGAACATCATGGCAACCTATCGTAAGCCGTAAGAAACGCATGTGGGGGGAAAATATTAGAGCCTTCTATACTAAAGGAAACCTTAATCCTATTATTTTTGTTACATAAAAAGTTACTTGTCTCAGTTTCATTAATATAAAATTAATGTACTCGTCTGTTTAATGATACCAATACGCGGTTTTATATATAAAGAAGTGAAAGGGAACCTATTAGCTATTTACATGATTGAAGAACATAAAAATATGAGTTGTCAAATCGAGTGTTATTTACATAAATTTTCTTTTTCTTTAGCAGCCCGCAGTTTAATGTTGGATATGGGCCTATCCCATCATCATCATCATCATTACCAGTGGCGTAGCTACCCAGGGGCTAGGCGGGGCAGTGCCCCGGGGCCCCTCGGCCTCCAAGAACGAAATTCGAAAAATTGTGTATTATCCTAGTTGTATAAAGAATTTTCGAGTTTTAACTTTGTGGCCCCTGACCGCGAACGGCTCGAATTGAAATCACAAAAATTACTCTCACTTCCGGAACATAAATAGAACATTGTTAAAGATAATTGTCTATTTCGTCTTATTATCTTTTTTTATATAGAAGAGAGGAGCAAACGAGCATGCGACTCACCTGATGGCAAGTGTCCACCATCTATTAACAAATACAACACAAGTGGAATTGCAGACGCGTGGCCGGATTTTTAAAAAGGAGTAAGCTCGTTTCTTGAAGCTCCCTAAGTCGTATCGGTCCGACAGTAGTGGACCGCCAAACATCCCGATGATGTGGATTCGTGAATCGCGTTGATGAAATTTTGTGGCTGGAATTGATCCGAATAATTTTTCTGAACACTCCCCTTGGTAAATGCGATAGAAAATGCAAAGGGATGCAACATCTCTTCGTCTCGTCTTTCGTCTTCGTCAGTCGTCGACGATTCGAGCTACTCTGCGCTGGATGCGGCCAGTGGAAAGAGCTAGTACTAGGGAGCCCCGGCCCAGGAATGAGAACAGTATTCCAGGTTAGACCGAACCTGCCCCTAGTGAAATTGCAAGCAGTGTGCCGGCATAAAATACTGACCCGCTCTGCTGAACATGCCTAGCTTTTTAGAGGCCAATTCAGCCTTCCCTTCCAAGAGACCACGAAACTGCACGTTATTCGTTATGTCAACGCCGAAGATTCCGATACTGGCTGAGGTAACAAGGGAAGTGCCCTGAAGTTGAGGAGCTACGACAAAAGGGATTCATTTTAGTGGTAAACGCGCAAACTTGTGTCTTCTGGGCATTGAACTTAATTACATTTAGTCGTCCCAATCCGAGACCTCATCCGGCAAAGACTCGACTTCAGACATAAGTTTGTTCCGGTACTCGGTGACGTTTTACCGAGAAATATAGGCACAGCTGGTGTATAAAGCTTCACATGTTTTATTATTGATAAGCAGAAGAAACAACGTAGTTGATAGCATATAGCTTTGTGGAACACCCGCATAAATAGACTAGTAAATGGAACATGCACCTTGTACTACGACTCTGTTGCTGCAATCTGCAAGAAAACTACTGATCTAGTTGCACAAATTCTTGGGAAGCTCATAGAAAGAGAGCTTCGAAAGAAGCTCTTTGTGCCAAACCCGATCGAAGGCCTTCGCTATGCCCAAACTAATGGCCAAGGTCTCCCTCTCTGCCTCTGGGTTACCTGAGTCATAAGATTCAGGTAACCCAGAAGATCACCAGGTGAGCAACTCAGACGGAAATCGTACTTGCTTTACTTTTCAGTTAGTGATCCTCAACCTCATGAGCTGGCAGCTCACAATGGTTTTCATTATTTTGGAGAACAAGTTGAATAGGTTTGAGCGGTCGTTTTCGGTTATTTATTAGGGATCTGGTGCACTAAAGCTGTCTTTTTTGAGTTCAGGACTACGCCTAGGAAGAAAGAGTTTTAGAAAGGACACGTAACGACCAGTGCCAACTAGGGAGCACATGTCTTCAGCACAATGGGAGGAAATCCATCAGGCACACTAGACTTGACGTCTAGGGAGAGTAGTGCGAAATTATACTTCTTTTTAACAGCGCTGGTGAAGCGTTCCTATTACAGCGCGATGCAATTTTACAGGAGCGACCAAACTAGGCACCATAGAAGAATAAAGGGTCCCATTCCCTGAAGTACCACAACAGCGACAGAAGCACGTTAGGATCAACCGGAGAGAAGCATACCCGCCCCTGTCCTCAAAAGAAGGATGCAAAAAAGACCGTATCCTGTCTCAATCGGCCGACTATAGTGCTAAATACGGCGGCGATCTGCAGAACGCAACCGCGATGGGAGTGGGAGGAGCACCATAGTCCGGATAAGATAATGGTCCAATGAGCCAAGAGGGGCGTCGACGGAACCTGATATCCGCCCGGATGAGAAGTCAGCAGAAGATCCAACGGGGAAGGTGCATGATCCTCCACATCTAGAATCCGCGTAGGTGAAGTAACCATTTGTGTCGGATCATACGCCAAGGCAAAGTCATAAACAGATCTTCCTTCTTGATCGGTTAAACGAGAACCAAGCCATTCAGCGTGGTGGCCGTTAAAATCACCAAGAATAACGATCTTTGCAAACGGGACCTGTTGTAGCACGGAATCTGCAGAGATCTGGACGTTGTTTATGAGTTGGTCTGTGTCAGCACCCGAAGACGCGAGGATGGTCGTCTCTGACATATACGCAAACTCCAGGCCAGGGCACTACGGTGTTATAATTTGTACCCCGGATAGGAGTATCGACCGGAGAGGACAGCTGCGCCTTAGTTAGAAAGAGTAAGATCGGATTTGCCGTCTTCACATGGTACCTAGAGGACTTCGTTAACGTCCGAATGAAATTCCCTGATGTTGCAGAAATTCACGGATGGCACGGCATGGGTCACCTTTGTCTTATTGCTATACCCGCGAAGAAGGGTAGCTTGGGTGTGGATGCTCAGCCAGGGATTCTCCAATACCAGGAGTGATGGTACCCTCCTGGGATGGTTTCTTATTTAATTACATGGTAGTGTAATTAATTAATTAGTTAAGGGGCTTAGGCCTTCGACCACCTGCTAAGTGCAGGCGAAGTAAACTTCTACTTCACGCTGGTTATCTGTAAGGTCGTGGGTCTCCTTGGTTGGAGCCGGTCCACCCATTCATTACATTCATTAATGTAATTAATAATTTCATGTCTTACCAGGTCGTCACTCCATCTAGTCTGGCACACCACCAACCAAATCCACGTTCTTAAAGGTCTGATCTTTTTATATATATAACTAGCAATCCGCCCCGGCTTTACACGGATAATTTTTCGATCTCAACAACAGCGCCACCTACCGGGTTTAATGGTGCATCATTTAGATCATCAAGGGGCCAACTCAAACACACACAAAAAATTCATCAAAATCGGTCCATCCATTTTTGTGTTCTTACGTGACTAACGGACAGCTATTGATTTTATATATAGAGATAATAATGTCCTCCACACCGAATTTCGGTCAAAGCGGCTTTAGACATCGGCGCAGAACAGGATTATAAAGCCCTAGTGTACGCTCAAGCACAGGTGCATCCTATTCCCTCACTCTCATAGTCCGATGGGACTGCAATCCGACACGACCGGTGGGATCTCTACATCTCTCTAGGCAGCTACAGCTATCCTCGATTAAGAATCAAAATGTAGATGCGTTGTCACTCTTGATAACTAACATATAATGACTCATCATTATCATTATTACAGCCTTTATTAAAGCCAAGGAATGCCACAAAGTACGGTCATAAGTCTGCATCCATCGATTTCCTGCTTCCTTACCAGATCGTCACTCCATCTAGCAGGGGGCCGCCCTACACTTTGTTTACCGATAGTAGGCTACTACTCGAAAACCTTTCTTCCCCATCGGTTGTCGGGTTCAGCTATATATAGGTTACTATGGTTCTACTTGCTGACTATCCTCATTTCAAAGCCTATCACGCAGAGAAGCTCCAAGCACAGTCCTCTCCATAGCTTGCTGAGCTACCTTGAGCTTCTTAATGCGTACAGCATTAAAGGACCACATCTCAGATCCATATGTCATCACTGACAACACGCACTGGCTACGCACTTTTGTTTTCAAGTTTTGATGTATTGTACATGAACACATTTTCTTCAACAACTTCGAGCGTAATGCTCTCAACAACTACCGGTATAGGTGTGACATGGACGTTCCACATGACCTTTGTCTCGTCTATGTTCATTTAAAAAACCTATTCGTTGGGAGACACTAATGAGATCTCTGGGTATAGTGCCTAGATTTCCAGCGACTCTGTCATAATAACTGATATCGGTCTAAAGTTGGTATTAAAATATCATCGTCGGTACTAATATAGCCCTTTCGGATATCGGCCAGTTGGAAGTCTAAAAATCTGCGTGCGGGACAATTCATAATGAATATCGAAAACTGCACGTAGCCGCTGCCCAGTGGAGAAATCGATATGTAGATCTTTAAAAGATCGTTGTCATCTTTTTTAAAAAACAAAACCACCATACTTCTGCTCCACTCCTACGGTGTAGTGCTACCATGGAGGATGGAATTGAAGACTGAAGCACTTGAATAATCGGTTTTCCATCCGCTTTCTGAAGCTCCGCTGTAATTCTATCCTCGCCCGTGGCCTTGCTCTTTTTTAGTGCTTGAGAAATATTCTAATATCACTCAATCTGACGTCCGGGTTATCATCGGACTAGATTAAATGCCTCTTTATATTAGTGTCTCCGGAAACTCTTCTAACCCGAACTTTATCAAAATAAATGTTATCGTTTCAAAAGACATAATATTCAATCGATTTATCTTCGTGCGAATCATCATCATCATTACAGCCCTTCACAAGTCCACTGCTGAACATAGGCCTCCCCCAAAGAATGCCACAAAGCACGGTCCTGAGCCACCTGCATCCATCGACTTCCTGCATGTCTTACCAGGTCGTCACTCCATCTCGTGGGGGGACGCCCTACACTTCGCCTACCGGTACGAGGCTGCCACTCGAGAACCTTTCTTCCCCATCGGTTGTCGGTTCTTCGAGCTATATGGCCGGCCCACTGCCACTTCAGCTTACTAATTCGTTGGGCTATGTCGGTTATTCTGGTTCTACTGCGGATATCCTCATTCCTAAGTTTATCACGCAGAGAAACTCCGAGCATAGCCCTCTCCATAGCTCGCTGAGCGACCTTGAGCTTCCTCATACGGTCAGCAGTGAAGGACCACGTCTCAGTTCCGTAAGTCATCACTGGCAACACGCACTGGTTGTACAATTTCGTTTTAAGGTTTTGAGGTATGTCTGACGAGAAGATGTGTCGTAGCTTCCCGAACGCTGCCCAGCCGAGTTGAATCCGTCGATTGACCTCTCGGTCGAAGTTGGACTTACCTAGTCGGACTATTTGTCCCAGGTAAACATACTCGTCAACAACTTCGAGCTTAGTGCTCCCAACAACTACCGGCATAGGTGTGACATGGACATTAAACATAATCTTTGTTTTGTCCATGTTCATCTTAAGACCTATCCGTTGGGAAACACTATTGAGGTCATTGAGCATAGTGCTTAGGCCCTCCAGCGATTCTGCCATAAGGACTATATCGTCGGCAAATCGGAGGTGCGAATACGAATCCCGAAAATTACCTTTACTCTATAAAGAACGTGTTAAGGCGACAGGTATAGTGCACGAAATTGAGGGAGGGTGGGAGGTCCTGGCAGGACATATCATTTTCTTTCTTTACGCGGAATTAAGCAAATTAAGTTAAAACAACCTCATTATAATGGATTTCCGCAAAGTAACGCCTGATTCTATTAATTATAGTAGAGCTGTTTAAAATAGGTCATAATTGAATAAAACTATTTTTACGGATTTTATCGCGTTTAATTAACTTATTTTATATTCCCGACGTTTCGGTTGCTTTTCAGCAACCATGGTCACGGAGGACTGAGGTGATTGACGTCACGATGTCAGAATTAAACCGGAGTACCTTCAGCTTTTTTAATTAATAATTTTGGTCCGATCTACGCAGAATGAACTAACTGTGTCTTGAAGTCTTGCAGTGGTATGCTTGGGTTTAGTTTTAATTTTATGAATTACAGGATCCCAAGCAGGTGGTGGTACCCAGTTTCCCTCTCTATTGAAATTAGGATGTTTTTTTCATTTCAATAGCCTCACGTATCATCCTTGGCAGGAATCGATGTTTTTTCGCGAGAATTTGTGGTTTATCAAATCTAATGTAATGGCGGGGGCCGTCTAGAACGTTGGTGCTTCACGTCAGCTATGTGTTCTTTTACGCGGGTTTTTATAGATCGTTTTGTTTGCAGGTATTATCGATTCCTAATTACAATTGAGATGCAGTCTTCAACAGTTAGGCATGTAAATAGAGACTGAACATCAAAACTGACCATAGTTTCATTGTCAGTAAGACATAGGTCTTTTATCTCACTGACAAAATGGTATGAATCCTTCGTGTGTGCTCTTGTGTGTCATCTGAGTGGATTGTTTATAAATGGTTAGTTTTATATGGGACTACATGTGAAGCACCAGCTTTCAAATAAAAAAAGAATCATCGAAATCGATTCACCCAGTAAAGAGTTATGAGGCAATACACATAAAAAAACATACAGTCGAATTGAGTACCGTCTCCTTTTTGAAGTCGGTAGAAAATTGGAAATACAATTAATCCAAAAATGCGATCCCCTTTTCTACCGACTTCAAAAAAGAGACGGTACTCATTTCGACTGTTTTTGTTTTTTTTATTTGTGTTACTTCATAACTTTTTTATGGGTGAACCGATTTCGATGATTTTTTTTTTATTTGAAAGCTGGTGATTCTCATATGGTCCCATATAAAACTAACCATTTATAAACAATGGCTCTACCATATAAAATACATTCTCTATCCCGTCATAAATATAACCAAGTCTCGTGACTCAGTAACTTAATAAGTAAGTTAATTAACTTGATTAATTGTTATATTGCAACATAAAAACCGTATCCACCTAGTGGTGGTGTAAAAATATCCACTACCCCATATTGTCCCGTGGATGTCGTAAGAGGTGACACAAGGATGGGCAGCAGTGTCTTCTTAAAAAATGATAAACTGCCAAGCGTAACAACCATGGTAAATATTCCCTTCCCCGGGGGGCCCCCTTCAATTTTGACTCTCAATAATTTATATTGAAGTCGGTTGTACAAAATTTTTTAATTATTAAGGAACCAAACACTTAAAAATTAAGAAGCGATAGAAGTACTTACTCCTTTTACCTTGTTTTTATACTTACCATGAAATAATATAGGTTTCATATAATGCACTCATTTTCAAGGAAATTTTTGTTATGAAAAAAGCAACACGATACTTATTTCGCAGTTATTTTCGTCGTGTAATAAATGTCCATTGTACAGGAGATGGGTAGCAGCATCCTTCTGATAACAAATTAAAGTAATAAAAAACTGGAGTTGTCAACCCGCCTGCCAACCGCGGCAACTATGGCAAATATCCTCTTTATGGCAATCTATTTGGGAAGCCTATGTTCAACAGTGGACTTTGTTAGGCCGTAATAATAATGATAAAGAGAGCAGAATATGTATCTCTATTATTGAGTATATCGGTAGCGTAATATATGAATAAAAATTCCTACAAATGACTGTGTTAGAATTTCAAAGAGCTCATAACAATTATTGTTTTGCTAACTTTTTACAGTACCAAGAACATTAGAAGGTGAATTGAAAATAGACAACGAAGAATTTACGGCAGCACTTGAAGACCCGGAAAGTGACGAATATCGAGAGTTTGTCGCTACATTCAGTGATGCCCTGAAACGTGCCTTATTTGATAGAAACACTTTGGAGAATGGAGATAATGATATTATAATTGAAGTTGTTAAAATAAGGTAAAAATTTCAGCTAACTATTAAAACAAATATCTGTACATAATGTGCCTCATGCAAATATTTATTTATTTATTTATTTACAGGAGTGGTTCCATCGTCGTTACATACAGAATTCACTGGAACCCAAGATACAACGCTCAACCTTCAGAAGATTTACTTACAACTAGTACTCTAGAAGCGAATTTGAACAACTACCTCGCACGAAACAATAGAATGATAAGCGTCTATCATATAGCCGAAGATAAAATGTTAACAAGACCAGTTCTGGATATCTGCCAAATTAACAATAATGACTGTGAGTATGGATGCGAATTCGACAAAAGAACTCTCGACTTCATATGCACATGTCCACACGGCCAAATTCATGATATGAAGCAACCCAAAAAATGCATGTTATTATTAGACAATTCGGAACGAATAGAGAATACATCACACGTAGGCAATTTCACATCAAACCTTAATACTATTACATCAAGCCCTATTTCAGAAGAAGAAAAACCCTACACTGAATCTGTTCACATTCTAACAAATAAAACGGAACAAAATACTTTCGACTGGAAAGAAAGAAATCATCATACTATTGAAACGACGACAGAAAATGATAGTGACCTAAACTTTTCTCATATTTTTGGTAACCCTAGTTACGAAAACAAAGAAGACGAAACCGACCTTTCAAAACAGCAACCGGAGTCAAATGAAGAGCATAATACAATTTCCACACTAGATATGAATATTTTACAAAGTACTTCTTTAAAGCCAAAAATAGAAGCTACAACGGTATCGGAGCAATCATTAACAACAACCGCTCATGAACCTACCGCAGAACCTGCGCCTGAACCAGAACCTACACTGGAACTCCATACAGATTTTAAGCCAGTTACTGTAAGCTACGAACAGAAAAATAAAAATCAAGATAGTGAACTAGATGAGTCTGATCCTAACCCAGAACCAGAACCTGCACCCCGTCCAGATTATAGGCCAATACTTACAACAGTATCGGAGCCGCGACCGACGCCTGAACCACACCCAACTACAGAAGTCATCGTGTCATACAATACCGCCACTATTTCACGATCTGGGGTAGAGAACTCTATGTCATTGGAACCTAAAATAACAACAAACTACGTAGCGTCGGACCACATTGAGAGTTTTACTACTACTGATGTACCCTCGGTATTTATGCCTGAAAGAAAATATGATTTAAAATCTAATTATAATCACGGTGATCAATTTGAAACTACAACAATACCAATTTCCGAACCTCATACTAATAATCAACCAGAAAGTACGTCCGAATTTATATCAAATTTTAACGAAAGCACTCACCCAAAATCAAGTAATAGTGATGAAATAACCACTACTGAAAATGACTGGCTTGAAAACAATACTGAAAAATCACAAATTCATTTTAGTGATACGAGCTCTCAAGAAAATATATTGTTAAACCACAGTATAGATCGTGATTACACTCGAGCTACGGACCAAAGATCTTCTAAGACATTTGACAGTGAACTTTTTAATGAAGAAACAACTCCATACCCAACTCCAACCATACAACATGTTGAAGAAGAAAAAGAAAGAACAAATACAACATTCGATGATTTATTATTTGATCAAATCACAAAAAGTGATGAACAACCTTCCACAAAAAAGTTTACAATAGAAAATATAGATGATTTGATTGATCAAACTACAACTGTAGTATCTATTTCAAATATATTCGCCGGAAGAAAATCTGAAGACAACGAATCTACGAACAACGAGTCTATAGAAACTACAACTATGGCGATACTGACAGGAGTCGAAGAAACAAGAGCAATATTTAATAATAGATCCCTAGTTATTGATGCTAATGATGACAAGGAACAAAATATTGAGAAATCTCTTTTTGAAAATGTTCCAATAAATTCAACAAAATTGGAACATATCGAGACCACCACGCCAGCATTGGAAACATTTACAGAATATTCAATTACTAAACATAATAAGGATTCTAATATAGACCAAAATTTGATGACAGTCTTACAAAATAATAACACCATTGACTTACATAATACAAAAATATTAAATAATGGAACAACAGAAAAAGATTTCCCTGAAGGGGACATTACCTTCGATGCCATCAATAAACTATATAACAGATCCTCCAAATCCTTTGGAAATCAAAGTAATATGGAACAAACAACAGAAATGAACGAGGTTTTAAGGGAAACGGCGGAAACTACTACTAGTTCAGATTGGCTATCTGAAACTGTTACAGAAATAAACTATCAAGAAGTAATAAATGAAAACATAAATGTGAAAACTACAGAAGCGCCGGTAACAAAAATTGATGAAATAATGGGCCGTGGCCAGAATAAAGACGATTTTGAACCAGATTACCTAAATATGGGTTCTAATATCTCTAAAACTTTAGAACACGATGAGCCACTATACGGCATGCTACACGATTATGACAATGAAGAATCTGCAATTAAAAGGGTAAAAAATGAACCTAGTAAAGATGATGATATCGAAACTTCTAAACATAACACGATTGAAGCCACTAATCATAACAACCAAATCGAAGAAAATTTAACTACAATTAAACCAACGATTGAAATAGATAAGGTTTTTGAAACTACTACTGTAGGTGAATACATATATAAGATTTCATTAAATGATCCAAATAATAACTCAATTTCTACATTAAATACAATTACAGCTCATCCTGTTCCCCCCGTCTGGGAGAATTCTGAAGATGACATGAACTTCACTGTTAAAGAACTACCAAAGCAAATTATAGATGATACTTTACCGCAATCAGGATTCTCCACAACTATTTCGCCAACATCCACAACAGTTAACTTACTACAAAATAACAATGAAGAAAACATGAATGCCTTCGAATCTCCCGTCCGAACGGATAATGTCACCCTAGGAAACAATTTAAATGTTACTATTTATGAAATATCTAACCACAGTGACAATCATAATGTGGAAAAATCTATAAGTCATCAATCGACTGAATACGATGACCACGAAATAGAAATGAATCCATTCTTGCCAGAAATCGAAAATAATAAAAGCCTTGTAAAGAAACTCCAAGAAGGGCACGACCTAGAACCTTTAAGTGTAAATGAAACACAAAATGAGAACACCGAGGAACAATCTCATGGCTCCCCAGACGGAAACATGATATATAATCAAACTGTACATGGAATTAATGGAACTAAGTCATCATCAGCACAACAAAAAACGCATTTAAAGGACGAAACATTATTTAGTGACCTATTAACGCAACATAACTCCCATGCTACCGAAGAAGAGTCACGGCCATTATTTGACATTATTACGGACACAGAGACAACTCCATCGTCTATTGATCAGCTAGATAACGAAAGTAAAGAATCATCAGAAGCTATACCTATTTCAACATTTTTATTAGACACAGACGATTTAGACACTAAAGAACTTTTCGATACTGAAAAAATGAAATCTGAAATCAGCACAAAATTAGAAACTGTATTAGCGCCAAAAACATTATATGAAACAACTACAGCAACTAAATCAAAAATCGGTGATGAAAATGCCTTTCTCAGTGTAGTGCCCATAGATCAGGAAAGTTCGGAAAAAAAAGAGAATCTAAAAAATAACTATGAGAGAGAAAATATTCCAGAACTTAATTTCATCAGTGATTCACCCAAAAAGAGTGATAGAAGGACAGTGGAGCCAAGCAATATTAATTCCGTCATTAATAATGAGGCATAGTGTTGTATGTTCCACTTTAGCAACTTTACATTCTAAGTTTGTACATGACTCCATTTCCTGTGATTATATCAAACAATATAACTAACAGACTAGTGTTCCAATGTAGTTTCGTTGACAGTGTAATTATGTATGTAAAAAACTTTAAAGGTCAATTTTATTGCGATTCTAAGCTACTTTGAAAAATCCAAGTAAAAACATATTTGTTTTCCATAAGAGTCATTAGACTAGTCAAATTAAAAAAAGTCATCATCATCATCATGAGAAACCTATTTATTGTTTAAGTATGCTTACATACACAACCAAAAATTAATGAAACTTTTTTTTTTAAATTACGTATTCCTTCTCGATCGTGCTTTATTTCATTCTTTTATAAATTGTTACCATAGATAAATGTATATTATAATAATTTAAAGAACTTAATTTTTTGGGTATAGAATAAAGTATAAGAATTAACAATGTTTCACTTGTTTTTAAATTGATACTATTCTGCCATGTGTTAATGTGATATCATGGAAATAAATTATATAATATTCCATTCATACAGAAATATTCTGACCTTAGTGATATTTAGCAGTGGTATGTCTGATTGTAAAATAATAATTATTGTAGATCTTGTTAACTAAGATATATTTTGTATAATATGGTTGAAACTGTAAAGAATTATGTTGTAAATAAATTTAAAGTTAATAATTATATTGCTCATCTCATTTAATCCTAAATAATAACTGGAACTAGAATTGTTTACATATAACCGTTTTAATTATATAAAATTTTACCATGTGTCACAGACTGGAACAATTAGGATGCGGCGTGATTTCCTCAATTTCTTGACTTGTCATTTGCTGTTCATCAATAAGCATTTTAGCACACAGACAGTCGTCATTTATCAAACCATTTTCGCTTACTATACATTTACCCAAAACAGCCTTGCAGCTATTATACGGTATTGTAAATTCATTAGTCCTACCTCTAAAATCAAATTTCCTTTTAATATTGTTGTTATTACATTTATTAGCAATACCTTCAAATTGCGGGTCAATTGTATTTATTACTTTAACCGTTCCATCAGTTGCGTATTCAAAATCTGGCATGCAATTATTGTTCCTTTTTGACTTTTTCATTGTTTGGCCGCCGACATTTACATGGCTAGTAAATTTTTCTTCTGTGTTTACGACGGAACAGGAACAGCTTTCGCATGTTTTTGTTGCATTATCGATTTCTTTTATATCAGTCGTTTTTATATTAATATCTGTGGTTGTTTCTTCACTTGTCCTATTATAGTTTTTATCAGATTTAACCATTTGAGCACATAAACAATTTGAACTCACACTTGTATCACCAGTTACTAGACACTTCCCCAAAACAGCTGTACAGGTACTTACATATTCTTCAGTGATCTTTGAAGCACCGAGTAAGTCATCTTTATTACTAGTTTGAAATTCTTTTGTTTTTACTTTTGACGATAAATCAAAGGGTTTGTCATTTGATAACTCATAATCTTTTACAATGCAGTTAAGTTTATGTTCTTCATAAAATGATGGTAAAAATAACTGACCACAGGTAGTGCACGGAAAACCTGTAATAAAATATGAGAACACATACCAATAATATAAAATGTAACTGTATTTTATTATAACAGTAAAAAGCATACCGTCAGATAAAGCAGCGGAACCGGAAATACGATCTGGTGGTTTTTTCTCTTCTTTTACGAAATTCTCTAAAATTGAAATAAAATTTTAAACCAAATTAGTGATTTATTGTTGTAAATACATTATTTCTTACGTCACTACCGCCTGCACAAGAAGCGGCTATGGGTAGTACTAGAAAAATCTTAATAGATGGTGGTATTAACATCTCGTTAACGCTAGATGTAAAATAACCAGATCGGCAACGGAAAGTAGCTAAGAGCAGCGTCAAATAGAGCCATCAATGCGAGACATCTGATAATCCTGCCAAGCGTGGATATTGACGCAAATCTTACCTATGGTAGAGGCCCAGCAGTAAAACTTTACAAGCTGATAAAGCAGAAGAATAAATAGATAATTTATCTTATACACGTAAAATCGTTTTCTAAATTCAAATAAGATTATTGTAAACAAATTATTAACTGACTTTAATTATTACATCAGGATGGATTTGAGATAACTGTTCAAGTAATCATTCTTTAAAGAAAAGTAGCTTTAACTATTCTCAGAGATGTTGAGTTACATATGGTATTATGCAATATACGCCCAAATTTGCAGAGAAGTGTCGGAATAAGTAATATAGGCGAATGGTAGAGAAAAAATAATTTAAAAATATTTCAAACATTCTGTCCTTTTTATCTTGTAAATTCAGAATGCGTGGTAAGCCTACTATTTTACTACGCACGCACATATTCGTAAGAGTCACTCGGTCCTCAAAAACGTTGTGAATTGAATCGCACACAGAGGAGCGCGCATACGCGTAGTTGTTGCCCATAAATCATTATTTATATATTTAAACTTAAATATAAAATTTGGATACTCTTTAAAAGATAACCCTGTATATGTACATTTGAAACACAACCGAATTGAAAATCCGATCCTTTTTACGTCAGCTTATATCAGTATCCCGCTAAAGTTAACTTAAAACCCGAGCCGAAACGCTCTCCCTAGAACCCTGTGTTCTAAACATGTTTCTATGCACGCACGCACAGTTGGCGCTCGGATTTATCTGACCCTTGCGGTCCATGTCCGAACCATTGGTTTTGAGCACGGGCAGCGGGCAGCAGGCAGAAATCAGGGGGATAAATCTGTGCCTAAGCCTCACCATACATTAGCAGGCCCACACGGCCAACAGATAGTAAGTGGATACTGTGGCCCATAGACATCTACATCTATCCTCGATTACGAATCAAAATGAAGATGCGTTGCCAGCCCTAAGAAGTAAGATGGAATGCCTCGTTTCCAGTAAAAAGGTTCTCCGGTTCTCTACCCTCACCATACGAAAAACAGCAGCTTTAAGCTGCTATTTTAGGCTGGTATTCAACAGATCTGTCAGGTAAATCTGCTGCTGTAAGTATGACTTGCTAATGACAGATATAAGTAATGACAATTTGAATGGAATTATCAGGACTATATACCTTTTTTAATGTAAAATAAAAGCTTTTTTAAATGTACAATAACATACATTTTTCCATTGCATATAGCACCCAGCCACACACAATAAGCGAAAAAAGAGCTACTTTTTTCAGTTAGTCGCGCGTACGTCAGCCGGGCGAAGTTTCATGTGAACATTGACGGGTTGTAAGCCCTGCCCTACAAAGTTTGCCATGTAGATACGAACTCCAAAAATTTTATGGCTAGTTTTTATCTCTATGATAAAAACTGGCTATAAAAATTTTGGAGAGTTAGCATCATTCACTTATTTATTAATGAGTCTGGAATGTTTATTATTTTAATATAAGCACCTAGTGATTGATCTTTAAAATATCACAAATAACAAAAAGTAACAACCAACTTAAAAAAAATACTAAAAAGAATGATGAATGCACTGAAAGGTAAGACATAGTATTAAAAATTAAATTTTTAATATACTACTAACTATTTATTATGAGGAAATTATTTTTATTCTTTTTAATTTTTAATGTCGATCGTCGTTTATAAGGTTTTAATATTGTTACCCTATTAAGTAAAATAAGTAGTACAAGCAATAAAAAATTCATCCTCCATTTTTCCACCACTAGGAATAAAAATTTTCTTTAAATTTAGAATCAGCCTTTAGGTAATAATAGTTATTTGTGGAATTTGAAATATCACACTAATAATTCCATAATTATTTATGGAATTTGAAATAATAGACACCATCTCCACGCCCCGGGTCTATTAACAAGCCTTCAGACTCAAGCGGCGAACCTGCACGGCTTTAAGTGTCTCCGATTTCTAAGCCATTCAGTCGCTATAATTTGTAAAACACTAATAACATACTAAAAATACTAGTTATTTATGCACTCACTGTGTCTAGCATGGTGTCTCTTTCGTGCATACTCTGAAGAAAACTTTTTCTTGCAGTTGGTCATCTCACAAGGTAGCCATGTAGTGGGTTCATGTATGTTCATAATATGAACTTTTAAATTGTGGGACTGAATAAAACCTGTAAACAGAAAGATTAAGCATTTAAAAAAAAAGAGGTAAACAATCTTGTATTGTTTTTATTTTTATGAAAACCAACAAGTTATACGTGGTAGAGCCATGCTGCAGCTTTATTAGTAGTATAGTTGTAGCACGAATGGGTTGGCTCTACCGGGGAAGGACCACGCTCTCACAGAATAACAGCGTAAAATAGCAGCTTAACACTGATGTGTTTCGTGTGGTGAGTGTAGAGAACCGGAGACCTTTTTTACTGGAAAAGAAGCATTCCATCTTAGTCCTCACGGGTGACAACGCATCTGCATTTTCATTCTTTATTGAAGATAAATGTAGATGATGCCACAGTAGGGTCACAGCAACCACTTACCATCAGGTGAAATGTGTGCTCGTTTGTCACCCTATCCTATAAAAAAGACGACGTAATGAACGTAAAAAACATTTTTTTTAGATTTTTAAATTAGAAAAAAATATCAAGATCTCTTCAGAAAAAAAAAGCTGACTTTTCTCTCCTTTATTGCCGCCCTCCGCTGCTACCCCGCAGTGTATAAGTTCATTACTTTAAGATAATTCTACACTGCGTCAATGCACTTGTTAATCGACGCGTAAATTTTTGAATTGTTTTTTTTTTTTCGCTTTTCAATAGCAATAATTTTTCTTTACTTGATATGTGGCAGTATCGTAAAAGAACACACTTTCGCTTTCGCCCATCGTAGCACATAACTTATTGTGCAGTCCTGCAGTCGTTTTCGAAATTCGTGAAGTAAGAGCAGTCGAAGTTCCCTACGAGATATAATCTCTAATTTACTATGGTTCTACTACTAGACTACTCGAAACTCTAGATTGCGACTGAAGAAAGTGGTGGATTTATTCGTTGTCACCTAATATTATGCTGAATTTCATGAAAAGGTGTTTTTAATGTTATTTTTTGATTTATTTATTATAATAAAATGAATTTTTTTGTAATTAAAAGAAAATATATCTCCTTCTCAACAATCTGTCAAAGTCCACAGCTGGACATGGGCCTCTACAGTCGTAGTGAAGATTTGCCTCAATCGTCACGCTTGGTAGGTGTTACAGTATCATATTGACGACCGCAGAGAGTATAGTAAGTCTACTATACGTCTTGACATTATATGTGACTCTTACTGCCCCTCGCTTGTTATGATTATTTTATGTCTGGCTTAAGGGGACTACAAGAGCTTAGTGATCTCGAAAGTCGCACGCACACATTTACATAATTTTGTATAGCATCAGGCCTCGGCTGGCACTGTCGGTACACAGGCCTTTACGCACACATACGTACGTAGTATGTTCAGAAATAAGAATATGCGATATAAAAATAACTATGTTGCTTGTAGAATAATCTGACAAAAAGTCAGAATAATTGCATGTATATAAGTATGGTTTTAATGGTTAAAAGAAATTTGTTAAAATTGTTAAAAAAAATGTGAAATTAAAGGTCTCCGTTTGAATGCTAATAAAACTAAGGTTCTGGTATTTGAAAGGGACGAAGAGAGAACGACGTGTGAAATATGGGTAAATGAGGAATGTCTAGAACAGGTAAATGAAATTGTATACTTGGGGAGTGCTTTTAGCCGAGATGGAAGATGTGATTTAGATGTGGACAAACGTGTCGCTGCCGGGAACAAAGTCAATGGTGCCCTGACTGCGTTAGTCAAAAGGCAAGGCGTAGTGAAGAGTGCACGCCTTGCAATACATAACGCAGTGTTGGTACCGACTTTGTTATATGGCAGCGAAACCTGGGTATGCCAGAAGAAGCATAAAAGCAAGTTGAATGCAGTGGAGATGCGATCTCTTCGTAAAATGTGCGATGTTACCATGGCCGACCAAAAGCGAAACGAAGAAATTAGCAATATGGCAGGTTTGAAAGATGACCTTATCACAAAAATTGATAAGGGCGTGCTTCGGTGGTTTGGGCACATTGAGCGAATGAGTAAAGACCGAATGGTGAAGAAAATATATAGCGCGAAAGTTAATATTAAAAGGTGTCGAGGTAGACCGAGACTAACTTTCGAAGACCATGTGAGCAAATTGCTCGAAGAGGGTAGGGTCAAGGGTACTCGGATACCTAGACGTGCATGTATGAAGAAGATAATGAATCTGAAGGAAGCGAAAGAGGTATGTAAGGATCGTGACACTTGGCGATCTGTTCTCTCTGGCTACCCCGTCAGGGATTGTGCGTGAAGATAAGTAAGTAAGTAAGTAAAAGAAATTTTTATAGGTATCTATCAGATTTTTTTCTATCGTATCAAATTAGTAGTAAAAATATATATTTTTCTGATTTTGTTTACTGCAATGGATCATATACTTAAAGGCTTAACTTGCGTTAGATCCTGTAGTCCCCTTTAACGAGATGGTTATGCCCCCTTTTATCGCAAGCCTTTTTTCCTCACATTTCCCCAGTCGTCTCTTACAACACTTACCAAATGAAATATAGTGATGAGATTCTTTAAGCCGCCACTATACGGCTTTTGCAATAATATCACCATTTCAGCACGTAAAACCAATAGTAATAGAATTTTTAGCACAAGTAAACCTTAGGGTGTTACCACACGAATCGATCGATCGTCGATCGATGCCATTGATCGACGTCGATCGATTGGTGTGGTAGCTTTAGCTGATCGACGGATACTAGTCGATATAACGTTGTTCAATCATCGATCAACGTCGATCGACAATTATTTGATGTGATTGTGGGCTCATCATCAATATGTTTCAAAATGCGAATCTCGAATAATCAAGCAGCTCGATCGACGTCGGCTAATCCATTGTACCATTGATCGATCAGTGTGGGAGAGACTATCGATCGACTTCGACTATTCCATCCCACTAATCCACTATCGACCGATGGCATCGATCAACAATCAATGGATTGGCGTGGTAACACCCTTAGGCTTCGGTTAAAATTTACAGCAAAAGTACGACTTCGACCGAAGGTTAGCAAATGCTGAACGATCGACTTCTACTTCCGCCTCAGTACCGGCCAAAAGCTGAAATTCGGTCAGACACTACATTTAGTAGCTTAGAACTTATCATCAAATGACTAGTGCAAATTGAGGTCTCTGGATACGCTAAAAGTATTTAAAGTTGATACAAGATCTGTGAGACTCCATGACCAAGCTAATGTATAAAATAAGGAAGTGTTCCTAGTAAAAGGTATTAAATCCAAGAAGAGCTGTTACCACAACAATGATGAACATTGAGCAATTTCCGTTAAAAAAAAAACTTACAAATATGTCAGTTGCTTATTAGTCGAAATAACAGATCAACACCTCTCAATGACGAATTGCAAATCTAAAATACAACTTTTAATGTTGGCCTTAACAGCTGGTAGCTCGGATTTCCACTAAAAGAATATGCTTCGTCAATGAGGTGTGATGTACAAACAATGCAAAAGCTTACCTTCAACAATGTAGTCAAGTTTACGGGAATGTAAAATGATTTTTTAAAAACTATATAAAATCTATTTTATTTCTAATAACAAATTTAATTATAGTTACTTAATTAATAACGTCAAAACGAAGTGGTCGCTCCCATGAGCTCTGCCTGATATATCATGCTTATGCAGACCCCTCTAGGTACAAACCCTAACAACCCTATGGTCTTGTGGTGGCGTATCTAGGTATAGGTGGATGGTCTGCAGTAAACAACTCATAAAGAATGCATCGTCCACTGCCTTAATTTAGTGTATAATAAGTTATATTTAAATTTAAATCTGTACAAATCTGCTTTTGTACGATAGAGTATAAATGTGAATTAGGCAAGAATGATGATCATGTTTTTTTTACTTGGATGCACCGGATGCTCCCTTATTTTATCTGAACATCCAGAGTTGTTATTGCCCTGTAGTGACAGATAAGGAAAATACCATTATTGTCCATGGGTGCTACAAAAGGTGACTATGTGAAAGACCAGATGTCTATGGGGAAGCAATGTACTCTACCAATTTAAGTTAAAATTTAGTACAGACCTTTCCCACATATTTTGCAAAAGTGCTTTCTGGTATTTGTATGTGTCATCTCGTGATATTTTAGATGGTGTGAAAAGTTAAATGCTTTATGACAATTCGCATGACTGCACTGGTACTTCCTCTCAGACTTTGGTTTGTGCGTTATTATATGAATACGCAGAGCCTGCTTGCTGTTAAATTTGGCATCACATTCTGAACAGATATAAGTACCTGAAAAAAACATATTCCAACTTTTACCATTTTTTGCTGAATAGTAAAAACAAGAGAATCCATTACCCCATATCTTCTCATGGATGTCGTAAGAGGCAACAGAGATAAACTGAAACAGGAGATGGACAACAGCATCTTCCCGATATTAACTCAATATACCTAATAAAGAACTATGGTGTTTACTATCACGCCTACTAAGCATGGCAAGTATTTCAAATATCCAACCTATGAAGGGAAATCCTTATGCATATTAAGGACCTTCTATATTATTGCTTTTGTATCATAGACCTTACTATCATAATTTTTTAATATGGGACTATACATTGTGCAACAGTACCTTGATAGTCAGCCGCCTGACCATCACAGTAATCATATATAGAAGACTAATGTTTGGCAGTGCACTTAGATAGCAGATAGGCTACAATGATAATGATAAGGCCACACTATGAAAAATTTTGTAAACATTGTTTTAAAAAGGGTACTCAAATTAAATGAACTTCTAATTTGACTGGTCACCAGTACTATTATAGGACATGGCTCTTGAAATAAGCATCTCTTTACTCTAGATGTCACAGACAGCTCTCGGTGCAGAGTTTATTTGGAGCATGTGGAAAGGGCAACCCATATTCTACTTGACAGCCTAGTGGTGGCCAGCTACTGAGCCATATACCTTGGACCACTAAGGTTGTTCCCTGAGGTCATTAGTAACATTACAATTGCTATGATTGCTAATAGGGTGGCATGATTATATATAACCTGCCCTCATGATAAATACAAACAATACATTTAGACATGGAGTTTTCTATCATCCCAGCTAAATCAATCAATCTACACTTAACAGGAATTTGAAAACTTCTTTAAAGATTTGTGATCTAACATATGTAATGTAAATAAAAAAACAGGCTTTGGAGCATTGGTGTTTAATCTCATATAAACTTATAAGTGGCATTTTAAATATATATTAGTACAGAAGTGATTTCATTCAATGACATAATATTGTTACCTTCGTGAGCATATTTTATATGGCGCTTTAAAAGAATCTCATCTTTAAAACTATGACTACATTTATCACATTGAACACTTTCAGTTCTTTCATGTTGTTTCTGGTGTCGCTTTAGAGCTGAACTGTAACCGAATATTAAAAACGATAAAAATAATGTAAGAGATCTGACATACATTTAAATGACAATAATTTTCTTACATATAAGTAAATTTTTTATCACATTTATCACAGCCAAATCCAGGTAAATGACTAAGTTCATGTCTTATACGTTCACTTTCATATTTAAACACTTTGCCACAATGAGAACAATTTGCCATAGTAAAATTTATATAAAAAAAAAGCATTCAGCAGGTGCTATGTAGATGAAATTGCACAAATTCCATCTACATAGCTAAAAAAAAATTTAAAAGTGTAAAATCTACTAATTACTAGGAAAATAACTTTATATTAGCATAACAATAAAAGTTACTTCTTTTACAAGTAAAATAAATTAAAATTACATAGAACAAAACAATCGATCAAGCAAGACAGGATCGGTTTGTTTGACAATTTGACATTGACACTTGACAGTAGGTTTGGGCAAAAAATATCGATTTTTTTTAAATATATAGTCGATATTTTAAATCGCAATATATTAATACATCGATATTTATTTCAGAGTATCGAATTCGTATCAATTTCGATATATTTTTAAATATTGTATTTTTTTTTTTTTATTTACAATTTTACATAATACTTAATTTTATCTACAATATTAAAAACTATGATAATAAAAAAAAAAACTAAAACTAGAAACTTAATTATCATATAGTCCTACTCCCCGCGGTATCGTGCCAAGAACGCTGGCTGCATTTCCCCGCTGAATGGCTATACTTAGCCTTTGAGCGAGAAAAGAACCAGCCCTCTTATCACCAGCAGCAACGTATTGTATTAATGACAAAACATGTAATAACAAAAGGAGGCACAAAAGTATTCGTGTGTGGTTAGCTGTCGTTTTTTTTTTGTCGTATATATATATTATAAGGACATATTTTATAGAAATTACAAACAATGTAATGTCAAACCCATGTACTACAATCACTTTAATATCAATAAATAAAGTTATTCTATTCTGTTCTATTCTATATATAAAATTTTGGACCTTATCTTTACATCATGCAAATGATGACGATATATCGTTATATCGATATTTATCACGCAATATATATCCATAGTGCTTAAAAATATCGTTTCGATAAATATCTATATATTTTTTCCCTTGCACCTCCCTACTTGACAGTGACATTATTTTATAACTGGTTTTACGGCTCTGGGTTCTAGCCCTTCTGAGCCTGAAGTTACAATTATCCTTCATAGTATACTGCTTCAGAATATGTTGATGGGTCACATTGTGCAGCCCTTGGGAGTTATTGACGGCGTATTACCGGTACCACTCTCGCTCTCGCAAAATGATAATTCTGCGTTTTGTTTACTTGTGGATTTTGCATTTGCATTTGCATCGGCAAAACTTACGTAAGGTTATTAAAATATTCTATCATCTTTTTAACACCTTGAGTTGAATTGGTTATCAGTACATGAGGTACTGACATATTAAATAAAACATTTTATGTAACATTAAAAATGAGGGATTTATTACAATTTAGTGCACATTATGTACAAAACTTTAAAAAAAATGTTGAATGTTGTGTTGATAAAAAGTTGTCATATTTTGGAATTGAGTTGAGTGACATTTGATGACATTGACAAAGACGTATCTTTATTTTTTTTATTAACTGGCTTTACGGCACTGGGTTCTAGCTCTTCTGAGCCTGAAGTTACAATGTATAATAATTATCCTTCATAAATCATAATACATACACTGCTTCACAATATGTTGATGCGTCACATTGTGCAGCCCTTGGGAGATTTCGACGGCAATTTGAGCTAGCAGACAGCTGACAGTTGCCGATGATATCTCAAGGCGCCTAAGCAGACAGACATCTATCTTGAGAATCACATCACCATCAGAGCACTTGTTTCACCTTTTCCACTAATAGTGCACATGCGCAGACACTTAATAAATCGCACCACTTTAACATATCAAAATCCACTTCAAACCATTATTTAAACAATAATACAGGAGCAGCAATCCGCCGCCGGTCAAGTTCCCGCCAAAACTCAGTGACAGTGCCAGGATAAGTCTGACCCAAAGAGTATAGTAACTGAACTCAAAATTGAACATCCAACAAGAGAACTACGGTTTTGCAGAAAATTAAAAAAAAAATTTATCATACAAAAAGAAGGGCTAATAATACGCCTACCAGATGTCGCTAGTTGAGGATGAGGTGAACTTATTTTTATGTAGACTGTCATATACCGTTACCATCATTGAATAATTAAAAAAATCAAAAACCCGACTGCAAAAAAGACTATTTAAAAGTAATGCACTAAACCTCTACTTTGATTTAACAGACTATAGTATTCTGTTAAACCATAGTTAAAGTATAGTCTGTTAAACCTGAGATTTTTTTACGTGGTAGAGCCATGCTGCAGCTATATTAGTAGTATAGATGTAGCACGAATGAATCGGCTCGACCGGGGAAGGACCACGTTCTCTCAGAATACCAGCGTAAAATAGCAGCTTAATGCTGCCTTCTTTCGTATGGTGAGTGTAGAGAACCGGAGACCTTTTTTACTGGAAACGAGGCATTCCATCTTAGTCCTCACGGGTAACTGAATTCTATAAAAAAAAGTTTACTTTGTTAATACTTTATTTCAATTTTGTTCTCTATTCTCAATCTTGTTTCGGTCGTTTTAGTGCATTACTTTTAAATAGTCTTTTTTGCAGTCGGGTTTTTGATTAATAATAAAATAGTGTAATAAAATAGTGTGTTTGTGTGTGGGTGTGTGTGGGTGTCTGTGTGTGTGTGTGTGTGTGTGTGTGTGTGTGTGTGTGTGTGTGTGTGTGTGTGTGTGCGTGTGCGTGTGCGTGTGCATTTGCGTGTGCATGTGCGTGTGCGTGTGCGTACGCGTGCGCGTGCGCATGCGTGTGCCTTTGCGTGTGCGCGTGCCCGTGCGCGTTTGCGTGCGTGAGCGTGAGTGTGTGCATGTGCGTGTTCGTGTGTGTGTGCGTGTGCGTGTGTGTGTGCGTGTCCGTGTGCGTGTGCGTGTGCGTGTGCGTGTGCGTGTGCGTGTGCATGTGCGTGTGCGCGTGCGCTTGCGCGTTCGCATGAGCGTGAGCGTGTGCGTGTGCGTGTGCGTGTGCGTGTAGGCGTGTGCGTGCGCGTGTGCGTGTGCGAGTGCGTGCACGTGTGCGTGTGCGTGTGCGTGTGCGTGTGCGTGTGCATGTTCGTGTGCGTGTGCGTGCACGTGTGCGTGTGCGTATGCATTGGTGTGTGTGTGCGTGTGTGTGTGTGTGCGCGCGCGCGCGCGCGCGCGCGCGCGTGTGTGTGTGTGTGTGTGTGTGTGTGTGTGTGTGTGTGTGTGTGTGTGTGTGTGTGTGATTTCGGTAGATAACAACACTGACAGAAACAACAGAATAAGGAAATAATGATTAAATTAAACTATAAATACACTTAATTATATATAAATATATATTATATTATAGAGAAATCCCAACAAGTTCGGACTCAACGGTTGATCGGCCGTTTTCGCGCGTTATCGGATGATGACAGTCATGTTTGTGTAGGCACTTTCTTTCTTTTACAAGTGTGTGATTCGATCGTCCGAGTTCGGCCGTCATCGCCCGAGCAAATTACGGCCGATTACGGATTAGGTGTACGCGTACCCTTAGAGTTGAGAAAGCGAGTCAAAATAGTAGCCCCAAAACTATTGACTTAAACCAGCTAAACCACCATTTCTCTTCTTGTGCACTAGACGATGTAACAAAAATACATACTAAAACTCAAACTTCAGCTTTACCAAATCTTACAATTCTGCATTTATTTTTATTCAAATCATTGATAGTGATGTTAAGAAGATCATTGTTGTGGTCTAAAACATGATGCATCTGCAATTTGGGCACAAATCATACCAATTTTAAATTATATTAAAGAATTATTAACTTTTATAGACACTTCATTTCGTTAGTGGCTGTCCAAGTAGCCAATACAGAAATAGATTCATGTTATAGGTATTGACTCAACTGCACAAAGAATTTGTTGCGCTTCGTTTAGTATCGTGGGATTATTTGGAAGCAGGTCATGAAAAAGGTGCACCCGATGGCCTTGGAGCTATGTTGAAGAGAACAGCTGATATAATATTAAATCTAGGAGAGGATAGCGGCACATTTCAAAAATTTGTAAAAGTTATTCAGAACAACGTACCGCATAACTAAAGAAAAAATAATTTCTACAACGGAAATCCCACTATTTAAAGTGACAATGAAAACTCACCAAGTCTTGTTCAGTTGCGATCATAATCAAATTGCCTTTAAAAATAAAAGTTGCTTTACCTGTCTAAGTACACGATATTCTTGCATCCATGATAAGCATTTAAGTTTTTTGAAATATTCATTTACAGATGAAAGTAATAAAGAAAATCAGAGCGATATGATAAATAGAAGAAACTTAAAACAGAACCTATTTTTTTATATATAGGATAGGGTGACAAACGAGCACACAGTCCTCCTGATGGTAAGTGGTTGCTGTGACCCATAGACATCTACATTTATCCTCGTTTGCGAATCAAAATACGTGTGTGCGTTTTCACCCGTGAGGACTAAGATGGAATGTCCATAGGGATATTGAAAAATTAATTAGTTGTGTTTATAATAGACAATATAATATACAATTACAATAATCGAGCGGTTTCGAAACGGTTATGGGCTAAAGTTGGATCGCAAATGGATATAGCGGTTCCAGATATTTAAAAAAATCCGTTTTCACTCTGTTAAGCAACACAGTCAACTACAGAATACCGGCAACGTCCAATGTCGGCACACGTGGTACACTGTTGCAGTGTAAGCACATACACTTCCGAGTTACTCGTCCGGGTAGTTCTGTCCGCCATCGGCCGACAAAATCGGTTTTGGTGTACACATACCGTTAGAGACTTAAGAAATTTCCATACTCTGCCGGAATCATCTTCATCGAGTATAGATTTATGAATATAGCGTCGTTGTATTCATATCTCTACACAGCCTGCTGCAGTGATTCCGAATATTTTTATATTTATCTCTATTGGTATCAGAGTTATCAAATTTTTCTTACGCTGTAAATTTTTGATCTCCTGAGTAAGCCTGGGAGCAGGCAAATGCTTAATCCAGACCGGTCGAATTGGAGAATGAACGTCGTAGAGTTGTGTTAAAAAAGAATTAAAGCTAACAACCCTTTCGTCAATGTTAGCTCCAGTAAGAACACCATTCCAGTCGGTCATCGCAGCATCATGTCTCAGACGATCTAAATCGATACCATCAAAATTACACAGCAGAAGGATTCTCGATTTAGATTTAGGTGGTCGTAATTTGTATGATTGTCGTATTTTCTTTTCAACTTTCACTTTATACTTCCTATTTTATATGCTTACAA